CCCCATATGTCCTTTATGCAATTCTTCTAGTACCGTCTTCCGTAGTGGCGGTGGGATTACCAATCGATCGGCGCGACATAATACACCATCCAATTGTACTGACAACTCCTCTCGATGAGCAAAGAATTGAGGATACTTTCTCTTTACCTCTGGCGACCACCCTTTCTTGATCGCTGAGAGTATGGCTGAGTAGTACAGTTTGGTAGATTTGCGTAAAGGTTCCCGAGACACTAGTGATGCAGGAGACATGAAACGCCACTGTTCGGGCTCAGAAAATCATGAGTAGCGAGAGAGGAAATCAGCCTGCGGGATTGTCTTTCCTGGACGATGTTGGATGTCATAGTTACATGCGGCTAGAGCAATACTCCACCTCTGTTGCATAGCAGCAGTGGACATTGCGATGGATTTGTTGGGGTTGAACAAGAACTGTAGCGCTTGGTGATCAGTGATGATAGTAAACCACAATCCGAAAAGATACTTGTGCAATCGTCGAACAGCCCAAAATACAGCCAACGCTTTTTTTTGAGTCGGTGAGTATCCATTTTCTGCCGCATTGAGTAGACGTGAAGTGCAGATCACCGGGCATCCTTCTTGTTCTAATACAGCACCGATTCCGACGTCAGATGCATCGGTGATGAGTGTAGTCGGTTTTGAAGGTGAAAACGGGGAGAGAACAGGACGATCAGTAACGCAGCGAATTAAATCACGTAAGATATCTTCACACTCCACCGACCATTCCCAAGCCTCTGAACACTGAGCACCGAAAAGCGGCTGCGCCCTTGTAGCGAAGTTCGGGATAAATCGGGAACAGTACTTTAGGCATCCCATCACCGATCTCAAATGCGTTTGATCTTTTGGAGATTCGATGTTAGTCAATGGTTTGAAACGTGTCCTATCAGGACAATATCCACAGGAATCAACTGTGAAACCTAGAAACTCCAACTCCATTACTCCAAACACACACTTGGACGGCTTTGATAGCCACGTTTCCGGCGGCAAATCGTTCCAGTAGCTGCGTCAGACGGGCATCGTGTTCTTTCTTGTTAGGACCGAAAATGAGGACGTCATCTTGATATGCAAGCACGCCGTCGAGTCCTTTGATTATAATGTCTATTGCCGATTGAAAGAGGCTAGACGACACATATGCAATCCGAATGGGAGGAAATTGTACTCATACATTCCCCCCGGTGTGGTTGATTGTTGTCAAGTAGCGAGATTCAACATCGAGTGGAATCTGTAGGTATGCGTCCGCCAAATCGATCTTGGAAAAGTATTGGCACCCATGCAATGACTTCATGAAATCCTCTGGTTCCATGGTGGTCGCTGCACATCTCCGCAATTTGGGATTCAACGTCAGCCGATAGTCTTCACAGATCCGTGGTGTCCTACCATCACTTTTCATCGCCACGACGGTTGGAGTAGCCCAGGCACTGGATTTAACTTTGTTTATCACATCATCCTGCTCTATTTTCTGTAATGCTTTCAGGACACCGTACCGTTGACCGTATGGGAGGACGCGTCGTTTTAGGAAAATAGGTTTGCCATCCACGTTCAACCTTACCGACGGTACTTTCATACCACCAACGGTACCGGAACACTGTACAAGCAAATGTTGAAAATGTGAGGTGATTGGCATATGGTTGTTGGTGTGTAGTGTGATGGACCCTTGTAGTAGCCGCATTGCTCGAAGGCCCAGAATAGACGGACTGTGGGCTGATACCAGGAATCGGATTGGGATTGATACGCCGGATTCAGATTGAACACGCAACATTGTTTCATCAAGGAATTGCAACTGATGGCCAGTAACCCCATGAATGCGCACAGAAGTCGGGGCTAGAACAGCATCAGGACAGACCGCATTGAGTGCTGATTTCGATAGGATTGATTCGCTGCTTCCTGTGCCCATGATGAATCCATCGATTCGTCACCAGACTCGAACCTCAGTGAGGCGAACACGAGCTGACCGTTGGGTTCAGTGGTATGCAGCGTGTAGATTGGGCTTCAGTTCTCATCTGCCGTTGGGACATGGGAGTCGATGAGGTTGCACTTGGACATTCGGCATATTTTGCGGATATGGCCCATCTTACCGCATGCATACGGAATCGAAAAGTCGAACGAAGATGGTATTCACCACCTGAAAAACAGCGATTGGTCGCAGTCTTCGGTGGTGTTCCGCTTGAACTGGGTATTTGAGGAACCTGGGGTGAATAATGAACATTGGGTGCGTCACTTAAGGGTATCGTTGATTGCCGATAGAATAACACAGGAGTGGCAGCACACCAATCGTCACTTGGCTCGTAGATTTTTAGAGCCACAGCAAACGTTATATCCTTTTTTCCCAATATCCTACGTTGTAATGAGACGTTCACAAAGTTATTCTTCTAATTGGTCACCATAGTTGCATTTTGACGCCTGTTTGTTCAACTGGAGAATGAATTCATGGCACGGTATGTTGGTAGCTCTGATCATTGAGTTGAATTTGGCCCGTTCAGTGGCCTGAAAACCCACTGGGAGAATGTGATTCAGTAATAGGGATTTCAATTTCTCGATCGGCAATTCAGCAGAAACATTCGGGAACAATAGATTCTTCACCAGGGAATACAGCTCTCGGCCGCCCAACGTCAAAAATAATACCAACTGATTTCGCATTCCTCCTTTCCGGATGCTGCACCACAATTCGAAACGTTCTACCCACTCATCGACTTCTGATGGGCTTCCGTGCAGGTTCAGTGGTCCAGTGACAGGAATCTCCATTGCGCGAGGCCAAATTGTAGTAATCAGAATAGTACTGAATTTAGGTATACGAGAATCCGTACTGTACTGCTCAGAACTGAATTGGCTTCAACCCAAACTGCGGACACCAATGGAATACACGAGGAATTGATAGCAGCAAATGCTTATGTTTATTGATAGAGTTAGAGCATGTTTTATCGAAGGAAATATCTCATATGATTGGTTTAAGGGCCGTCGTCCAATCACGTAACCGTTTGCGTCGACGCATTATATGCACTAACTCGGATGTCACGTCCGCCCAGTGTACCATTGGTCGAGCTTCCTGAACGGTGATTAGATGACATGAAGCTGTACCTAGTCGCGCATGGATTGCGGTCACAGAAGTCTGGATCACCACATCTAGGTGCCTGTTTATCGCCCTGCCACTTCCCAATGCGCAACACTTGCTTGATCTGCACCTCTGAGGGGATCTGAGGGAGTCGGATCATGTTTCTAACTTGGTGTAGGAGAGTTTGCCTGCGGCTGCGGATTTCTTTACAAAACGGCCCTGGGATGCCCTTGATAACGGTGTTTCTGTTTCTCCCTAGGGCTGTGTTGGTATGGACCTCGAGCCTATGCAGGGAGTCTCTAAGGCTGATGGTGATTTCGACGAGCTTCGCAATGGCCTCCTCGTTAGCGTTCATGCGCGCATCAAGTGTCCCTTTCCCTGGTAGCAAGTGACACTGGATAGCCTTGTTGGTTCCCCTCCTGTTTCCAGCGGCTTGCACACTAATCCGCGCGGTTGCCGGTTTGGCAACCTGTGCCCTAGGGCTGGACTTAACCCCCCGGCTTAGGGGTGTCGCTGACTTGGTTTGTTGTTCATCGCGCTCAGGCTTCCCCACTAAAATCCGTTCCCGGGCGTTGACTACTCCAGGCTGGTTTCCCTCGACAGGCATCAGGGTCCCTAGTTCGGGTTTACCTTTGCTTGTCTCCCTACTTGGGGTCGAGTTACACGGAGGAGCTTGCACTGCCAACAGTGAAGGAGAGACTCCTTTCAAAGGCAGTGTTTTCTCTCTGGGTATTCCGATAGAGCTGGTACAGTTTGGACAAACGCGTTTCAGAAACTTGTGGACAGCGTAGTGTTTACTTGCCTTGGAAGTTAGTTTACTGCACCGTTGGTGAAACCAATCCTGGCACAGATCACAACGGATGCCCTCAACCACCTCGACAGAACACCCTCTTCTGGCACACTGGAAGGGTGCAATAACCTGATTGGCTCGTGTAGTCCCTTTAGGAGGATTTCTCTGAGTTACCATGGCACCTGTCTAAATACGCTTCAAGACTATGTTCCGTAAAAAAGGGGTGTGTAATGATGAAAACCCTACACAAAAACGATAAAAACAAGGGGAAGTAACTCTGAGTAGTACTCTCAGCAGTAACTGTTGTAGCCTGATCGCTCACCTGGACGGAACTTCTTCACGTTGGTCCTGCCACCCGGGTTCCGCTCAGTGGTGGCTCCCAGATTCAGAGCGCTGAAGGCTCGGTACAAATTGCGCTTCCGCTAATTTTCCAACAGGAAATCGGACTCTTGAGTGTTTCCTCCTTTTATTGTCGGCCTAATTCTACAGCGGAACGCTCCACTCCAAAATTCGAACCACGCGCGGTCAAGGTCACGCAGTTTACGCAGATGAAGATACGGATTATAGATTACGTGGAACACTTGAAAGGTAAAAAAGAACGAGATTCTCTTTTAGCTATGGTTGACATAAACCGCAATCGCGGTACTGCGGTACTTGAGGCACAGTCTTGGAAGTAAATGAATTTGGTCTTTAAATCTACAAGTCCAGTCCAGGTCAGGTCGGGTCAGGACAGGACAGGACAGGACAGTTCACAGGACTTGCGGCTTGAGCCAGTATAATAGTCCAGGTTCTTGCGTCTACAGGCCACGTGTGTCTCGTAACGCTTCGACAGTTTGCTAACTCGGTCCTTGGTGGTGCAGGGGTACGGCCGCGAAGCAGGGAAGCCAATCCGCTTTGCTTCGATGGAAGCAGCACCAGCTGATCAGTCGCAGGCTAACCAGGAGGTCCGAGTACCCCTCCAGCAAACAGTAGATGACCCGCAGGCATGCGAAGATAGATTAGGATGGGAAAGGAAAAGCACATGAGTAATTTATTAGGTAAGAAAGTTAGCTAGTACGGGGAGGGGGTTATAGAAAGCTGGAGATTAAGTGAAGGTAGTTGAAGTAAAATGGGATGATATAATTAAGATTAAAGATGGAAGGGGAGTGGTGTTCGGGAAAGCTATAGGCAATAGCTACCACCATCGACTGTTGCTTCCTTCCTTAGGCTGATTCGGGGAAGGTTATGTCCGACGCCTCATCAAGCCTTCCTTTGAACAGCGCCAGTGTGGACGCCGAGACCACCTCGTTAGGAAGTCTATTCCAGGCATTGACCACTCTATGAGAGAAGTAGTTTGCCCTTTCTCTCTTTACTGCACGGAGTTTGACCAGCTTTAGCTGGTCGGGTTTTCACAGGGCTTGAGGGGCTGGGAACCGTAGTTGGTAGACCTGATCAGGACAGAACAGGACAGGACAGTACAGTACACAGGACTTACGGCAGAGTCAGATGGAGTCCAGTTTCTTGCACCAGGTGAGCTCAAGGTGGGCAACAAGGTGCTTTGACGGTCTTTGATTTCCAAATGTTTCCAAGGTTAGACCTGCAAAAGGATTACAATGCTGACGGGTCCATGGGTAAACAAACGATATCAGAGATGGTTTCAGGGACAGTGCGACGGTTTACATCCCTCCAGCTCAGATGACCCATGAAATAAAACGATCGTGAAGATGGTGAAGGTTACTTGTCCTAAGAAATTTGGATGTAGAAGGGGAATGGACACCTTGGAAGTGAAAGTAAATGAGGAGCAAAGATAAGTTCAATGTCCAATGTCCAGTTTACAGGCGGAGAAAGCTCGTTGGCTTGTAGGTTTGTCTGTTTCTTGATCTATACGGTAAAGTCCGATGTTCAGAAATTTCTGTTTTGGATTCGGTTATTCTTGTAATCTGAAAGTAGAAGCAAGAAAGAGGTTAGTAGGTTACTTCTTGTCGGTGTAGCAGGTTAGTTACCTGCTGTCAGTTAGCGAAACCGAATTGCATGCCTTACGAGGTGTGCTGCGTGGACAGTCCAGAGTTCCAACTGAGATTACTTCGAGGGTACTCAAGGTTGCTGTCCATTGCCGAGGTGATGCCCACGGCGAGTTTACCTAGTCTTTGCTTGAAGCACGCTGTCGTAGGCGCAGAGACCACTTCCTCGGGTGATGAGTTCCAAGCGGATGTGGCCCGGATGGAGAAGTGTAGCCGTCTGCTGTTAGTACTACTCTGCTGGTGCAAGATGGTCTTAGATTGTCCTCGCAGTTGTCGGTGCGATGATAGCACTATTAGTTCGCTGTTTTGGGTGACACTGTGTTGATACTATTTTGTGTATCGATATTAGGTCCCCTCTCAGCCTCCTGTAGGAAAGGGTAAAGAGGTTGAGTCGTTGAAGTCTATCTCCGTAGCTCAGTGGCGATAGCCCGATGACTCGCTTGGTGGCTCTTTTCTGAACCGCTTCCAGTGCTTTAATGTCTCGTACTAGCGTTGGGGAACACGCTTGAATGTTATATTCAAGGTGGGGTCCTACGTAGGTTCAGTATAACATACTGAAGCATTCGGGCTCCAGTCTTCCCAGGTCTCGGTTTATAAGGCTCTGCACTAGGCTGCCTCGTTTCACTAGCTTAGTGCAGTTTTGTGAGAAGTTAGGACGGTCCGACAGAACCGACCCTAGGTCTGTTTCCTGTTTTGCTACCGTCAGTGGCACCGAGTTAAGGTAGTATCTGCTGTCCGTTTTTCCCCTGACGTGTACTACATGGCATTTTGACTGGTTTAAGGGGAGACCATTTTCGATTCCCCATCGTCCGATCGCATCTAGGTTACGTTGGAGGATTACTCTGTCCTCATCGCTTCTGATGCTGCGCCAGATCTTGACGTCGTCCGCGTACAGGAGACACTTGGTTGTTAGCAGTCCCACCAAGTCGTTGATAAACACTATGAAGAGCAGGGGGCCTAGTATGGATCCTTGTGGTACTCCACTAAGGACTAAGTGGTGGTTTGAAAGCTCCCTATTGACTCTCACCTGATACCTACGACCACTTAAGTAGTCT